AAATAATCAAGTTAATAACACTCGAAGTAATCAGGAAAATCTCATCAGTGCTTTGTAGCTTTTTACACTGAGAAAAAGGAAATGTTATAGAAACTTTGTGTTTTATCAATCGAGGTGATTACTCATTGTTTAGCAGCTTCGAATGGCACTACCTTCATGATCATCTCCCATTTACAGCTTATTTAATGTATTTATCTAGCTCGAGAAATGATGGTTGTTTTTTTAGATATTGACAGGACATTACTGTAACATGGTAGAGTTGTAGATATAATAATTTAAAGCAAATATTGGAATTTGATATTGAACTATTCGTACATAAGTCACTTATACGGTGCTATAAATTCATCGAGATCCAAAGGAAAATTGAATTTAAAATGTGAATCATGACATATTCAACACACAGTAACAACATAATAATGTTCTTCTGTTTGTTCAATACGTATTCTTTCTATTGTACAAATTTAGCGAACGTAACCAAATACGTTTGCAAAATATCATAGTATGTAGAAAATTAAGCAAAGCACATTTAGGAAAATTATACTATTATTTTTGCATTGTTTTTTTTTATGAGTACTACCTTTAAGTAATTGAACATAAAAATTGTTTCCATTGAATTATTGTTGATTGTTATATGCGTTTGAAATATTTATAATTCCAATTTAATTTGTATCTGTTAATCGTTTATTCGAAAAAGTTTCTAAGAAAATGAGAGAATAAAAGACGATGCAGATTCGACGGTAGTAATAACGACGATGAATACATACGAGAAATTTAAGTATACTTTTGCATATTTGTAAGACTTTTGGCAAGGTACAGTTCCCAATTAAATCGTAACATTCCATGGATATAAAGATCCTACAAACCTTAATGAAATTTCCAAGCGACAGAAATAACTATTTTGAGATAATTACGAAAGTAATACATTTACAAGTATAACGAATTCCAAAAATGCAAGCACTGCAGCATATTTTTCTCAAAGTTTGAAGGTCAATTCTTCGATACACAAATAACAAACACGCACAATGATAGTCTATATTTAATGTGAAATTTTTGAAAGAACTTTTTATTTTATTACGCACAATATCTAAAAGTAACACAACTTGTTACATTCCGCCAGAATTTCAAAATGCGCTCAATATTATGAATAGATACATAGTATGGATCAGTACAATCGCTTCTATTATAACGCATAAGTAAATAAAATATAAAATAAAACAGAAATATCAATGTAAAATACATCACTTGCAGCAACATAGCAAGAATCAAATTTATAACAACAATAATTAAATCGAAGATTATACGTGGATTGTAATAAAATTATGCGTTATAATTGAATCGAATATAGTAGCGATTTTTCACATTGTTTATTGCCATGCGATACAAAAACAAAATAGATATATAAAAGACTAAATATATAATTCACCCTTCAATCCAATTTTAAGATGTATTTGCTACAAAATTTTGGTAAAATTATACATAAACTTTCTATGCGCCTCTTGATGATTACATATCTCATGTTTTTTGAAGAATATATAATTATATTTTCACTTTTGTACGTTTTTAATATTATATATTATCGATTGAAAAAAGATGTAAATATTAGTGTAATATACGACATATGCTAATAGTTATAAAAAAATGTAATTACTAATTGTAGATCAATTGCCAATGTGATGTTTAAATAAGTGTAACATCTCTGTGTTATAAATATCAATTACATAATATTATTTGCTGCGCTGAAATACAAAGAAAATTTGAAATACTTGCAACAACAAAAATTTATCTCATAAATTTTTAGCATAAATGTAAATATTGTGCATTTTATTAAATAAGTTATGCGAAATAGGCATGTGCTTTACTTTGTATAAAATTTATTACGAATAAATATACCAATGTATTGTATAAATACATATATATGTATATACATATATATGCAAACATAGATATATTTTTTTCGTATTTGTGTGCCATTTTGTTTAATACTGCACAGCATATTTTTATTTGTAACAAGCAGTATATTTTTCTTAAAACGTTGAAATAATTTAAACAAAAACGAAAAGAATATAATGAGTTGTGAAAAGTTCATTAAATAAAATAAACATTCTCTGAAGTTTTATTTATTGTTTATGTGAATAGACTACATTATTACAATATTGTATGTAAAATATGTCTATATACAAATATACAATATACAAAAGGCACAATATATCTACATTCTTTAGATCATGTACAGAAAAATACAAATAAAATTTGAATATACAAGTGACTATCTGTAACAAATAAAACAGCTTTATTGCTGTATATTGTAAGGTGAAAGTAAACTTTTAATTTTTTTAAAATATTGCGCTTCGCATACAAATTACTTAAAGATTATCTGTAAATAGCTTGCAGTACATGGTTATTAATTTGTCAAGAGAAAAAACTGTTCTATATATCTATTTTAGTTAGTATTATACAAACTTACAGAAAAATATTTCATTATTGTTGTAGCCTATTGCGAGTATATCCATATGGTTCCTTGATAAATCACAATTAACGAGTTACAAATGTCATTTGTTTTAATTGATTACTTTTACATTAAAAAAAATTCCTTTTGTAATGACAAATATTTTTTATGATTTTCAGTAGATTACTATTTGTGCATGACATTAAAAACAATTTAAATATGATGACAATTAAATATGTAGAAATAATAATTGTCATTATAATAAATTTCGTTAGAAACGTACAAATATAATAAACTACATATAAAGCTACTTCGCAGTTTTTGTTCGTTGTAATTATTATCTATTGTGTACGAATGCATTTTCATGATTTGAGAATGTAGGTATGCATTTAAAAGTACCTAATGTAAATATAATTACAAATTATAATAAAGTCAATTAAAATGTGTGCGCGTGTATGTAAAATATTGTTGTATCGTTAACAATATAGTAATCATAAGACATCTGACTTCCACTTTTTTGTGTAGACTGTAATGCATAAATTTGATCAAATTGAACAGATTAAAATAATCTCCGCATTTCTAGAAATATAAAAGATCACTGTTTTTTTCGCTTTCCGCGATACTTTATCACAAAGTTAGTTATTTTTAATATTTTTCATTACTACTTGTAATAGTTTAAAGGAAAACTTGTATAATAACTAACGTAAAATACACGTAAATGCAAAGAAATTGATATAAAATTCGATTAACTAATGCTCTCTTTCATAATTTCGTAAGTATCTTTGTTATATAATTAAACAAGTAAATGTTACATATATATCACTGCAAAATGAATTGTGCGTATTATGAAAAGTTTAAGTATCATGACAATTTTCTGTAATGATTTTATGCATTGTACTTATATAAATTCACAGGTAAATTTTTAATCGATGAAGTACCAAGAGTATTTTCTACAAAATATTTCTATAAAAAGTTACTAATATTATTCCCAATGAGTATCAGTGAATAAGTTTTGTATACAGAGAGACATATAAGCTGTATAAAACCGTATTTTGAATTTACCAAATTCAAATCAAAACAATGCTTCAATGGAAGCAGTATAATGATGTTTCTATATTATAAAGATGTAATATAATTTAAAAGTATTCTAAGAATATCAATTAAAACCTGATTAACTTTATAGGAATGTAAAGTCAGCTACGAAAATATACCAATCATCAGAATTTCACAATAAATTTGCATGATATAAATCATACAAAAATTGAATTTTCTAACATTTTGTATTGCCACACTATATCTAAAATTTTTATATACAAACATAACAATATTAATTTTTCAGTTCCATTAGCTCCAAACACAAGTGATTCAAAATGCAATTTTTTAAATATTCTAAGTTTTCCAGTTCTCTTTAATACAAAAGATAATCAAAACAAAGATTTTATGTAATAAGTGACCAAGATAGAAAAATATGAAATAACTGTATACATGTGCATAAATGTAGTTTTAAAAATAGTTATAAAGTTAGATGTTATGTTAAACTAGTGGAAATAAATTATATAGACATTAGTTTTTAAACTCTTTGGTTTCATCATAATAATTATTACATAAAATCCTTGGTTCTAGTACTGCTTACAATCGTTTCCTCAATTCAGAAAGTTGTTCCCTAGTGTTAGAAAATTTGTAATCATTCAATTCTTATGACATGTATAATAAGAAAATTTCAGTTCACCTTCATTCATCAAATCTTTTGATGTAATTATTCTTTTGCAATTATTTTAATAATACAATGCCATATAATTTACAAAGTACGCGGGAACAAAAACTTGTATTAAAAAGAAAATTACATAATGATAAGCCATATGTTTATAAATTAATAAGCATAATTCTGGAAAATTGCTATCAAAATGAAAAACCAATTTTATTTCAAGATTTCTACAAGAAAAATAATAATACTGATCAATATATTTTTTCTTAAAGGAATAATGTCAAATTAAGGATCAGCTATCAAAATCAAAAGTTAGCAAACAAAATGTTACTTAATTATTCCGTACGAACTAAAACATTCATTATCGCGATTCTTTTGTTTAAATTTTTAAACCAAAAAGTAATGAACTATTAGAATTACATTAATTACTTAAATTACGGTTCAATTTTCACAATTTCTCAATGGAACAAAACTTTAATTCCTGAAAATACAAACTCAAAAATATAAAAGTATAAAATATTATGTTGCTACCTCGAAATAGTAGAATTCTGTATAGAATCTTTAAATCAAATCAGGAAAGAAAAATACATTAAAATATTAACAAATTTTGCACATGGCAATTTGAACACAAACTGGTTAGTTTCATTTGGTTTATATGGCATGAATCTAGTATTTGGTTTTCTTGTTACTTAATATTCAGTGTTAACAAAGATATATTTTTAAAGATAGAGTAATTAATCTTAAGTATAAAATAAGTTACTTTTACGTTTGTGAGTTCTGGTTACCAGTATTTCCAATATATATGCTTTAATATAAAAGAGAAGCACTGGATTAAATATCTGTACAAAATAGAAAGATCTTAACTAAACTATTAGCAAACTGATCCTTTTTTATACAAACATGTAAAACCGTTGTTATCGACAATGTATAGAATACAAGATGCTATGTACAATATATTGTATATAATAGTCTTCTTACAACCCTTTAGTAATCAATATTCATCAAAAAGATGGAAATATATTATCAATGTATATATATATATATAGTATATAGAGCATTAAAAATTTTCAATTCATGTTTTCATTAGGCAGTTTTTACTTCCTTTGTTGTATAAAACTATTATGAAAACGTTTGCTTTTCCGTTATAAACGGAAATAATCACGAGATTTACATTAATACAATATACATAATATATATTGTCTTACCAGAATATTCTTTCCTAATCGACATCTTAATACTTCTTTGACTATAATTTCACTTCACTATGTATCAAACACTAAATGTTGAATGCATATGTTTGGATCAAAAGTCATTTCACTTTTTATTCACATTTATCATTATTGGAGCATTAACGACTCGAGATTTCTATGCAAAATCGTGTCCTTGACAGCATTAAATACAACTTTTATGTTTTCTGTATCCACAGCAGTAGTAAAATGGTGAAAAAGAGGTTTCCTTGGATCCCTTTTAACAGATATAAACATTTCAAGTATAAAATTCTGCACATCCTTCATGGAATGTGAATCTCCTGTGAATTGTGGAAAGTACCAACGAACATTCGTATCAGGGGATCTTACTTTTTTGTCTAACAAATCGGTTTTATTTAAAAATAGAATGATAGACACTCCACCAAATATCATATTGTTGACTATTGTATCAAATATATTTTTCGATTCTTCCAACCGATTGGTTCTTCTGTAATATTAACAGATATTTTACATGATGATTCAATCCTCTTAGTACATAAACTTTAAACGAACATACCTATCTTCTAACAACACTTGATCAAATTCGGATGATGAAACAAGAAAAAGTATCGAGGTAACACAATCAAAACACTGGTACCATTTTTGTCTTTGTGATCGTTGTCCTCCAACATCAACAAACAGAAATGGAATATTATTAATTTGTATGACAAATTCTGAAATTCCTTTAGTTGCTTTTCTGCAATGTAAAATATCTTGATGTGTAGGTACATAATCCTGTAAGTAAATAATACTTATAATAGGCTAAATTATATACATATATAAAAGTAACAAAATACAGTTTATGATTCATAAGAAATTAGATAATAAAATTAAATAATATTACCACTCTTGCAATCCTGTCAAGATTATCCAAGAAATATTGAACTGAATCACTCTGTGAAGAAAAAATATATTTTTAAAGCATCTAGTGTAACATGAAACATAATTATTGAAAAAAAAAAGAAAGAAATATCTTACTAATTGAAATTCTCTTCTTCTATCAAAGGCTTTTCTGATCGATGCATCTTTCCATAAACTTTGCAAAGCTGGTACGTAATGAAGGAACAATCTAGCATCCAACACCATAGTATTTTCGAATTTCAATAACTGATAACCAATATCATAATTTTTAGAGTTTTCCCATGGAATATTTAACTTATCACGAGCATCTACTAAGACCTTCATTCCTTTAATTATATTTTGGTAAATTACATGTTGATATTCTTTAATTAATTCAGGCTGAAACAAATGATTATTATAAATATTAGAAATTTATATAAATGTATTTTTTTAGAAACATGAAAAGCCATCTAAAGAAGCTTACATTTGAAAATCTATCTTTCATAAACAGTTTAGATACTATATCCATTTCATATATTTGTAACATGTATGTCTAATGATTACAATTGCTATAAATGGTAAAACAAACAAACTGATAGAAAATGTTTAAACTTAACAGTCTATATTTAATGTATACTTGTTGAACATTTCTTTCAAATTACATTCATTTCAAAATACATTCAATTTTATAAATAAGAAGTAATAATTTAGTTCTAAAAATTGATCTGAACAGCAATTGATATGTAGATTTATATATTTATAATTATTTTCAAACATAAATGAATAAACAGGACTACAAACAAACTAGAATTCTTTGTTAGTGACAATACAAGTGACTAAAAATCATATTTCGTAGATTTTTAATGGAGAAATATAAACGTTATTTGTTTTTATTTCAAATTTATTTTCTCACATTTTTTAGCTATTATATTTTGGTTAACCACCTTTCTGTAGCGAGATATTTAAACGACAACTACAATAACATTGACAGAAGCTCAAATAAAATTACACATTTCTATGAACGAATTACACGTAATCCAAAGTTGAAACATTTTAAAAAATAACGAGAATATATTGTACGACATATTAGGAGGAAATTGAGCTAGGAACGAAATTGTCTTGGTGAGAAACGAAGGATGTCTCACCTCGAATTTAATTCCGTGAATAATTCGCATCTGTTTGAGGAATGTCGACTTTCCGCTCTCGCCTGCCCCGAGGAGCAGCAGCTTAACCTGTCGCCGAAGAGTTTGACGATCCTTCTCCAGCATTCGATCGATTTCTTGACTTTTGTAACGCTGCTCGATCTCCTCGGGGCTGAACTTGAACCGCAGGCAACAAGTACATGACCACGTTAAGGATCCCGCCATCTTGCTACCCTGCTACCCTCCTCTTCCTTCCTTCCGGCGTTTCTTCCGTGTCAGACTGTCCTTCCGAAGGAATATATCCTTGATCGTCCAAACACCGCACATACACAGATAGAGAGAGAGAGAGAGAGAGACAGAGAGAGAAAGAGAGACAGAAACACGCAGACCCGTGAACGAGTGTTCTCGCGAACCGCGTATCGTAACGTAATGCGCGTATCGAACGAGCCACCCGTGAACAACCTGTTCGTAATTGCACGGGATCGGCACACCAAGCGATTCAGAACCGCATTTTTCACCTAGGCGTAGCCGGGGAATGCAACCACCGAATCAACGTCAACACACCAGAGAATCGTCGTTTCGATTCTAGCTTCGCACCAGGCCCCACACCTACCGTTAATCGCCAGACTCACGCCGCTGGCTGCCCACGATCGTCGTCTCTGGTTCCTCGCGGATTGGACATGATTAAATAATCGTTCTAATTACCGAGTAACAGAGCTAACTCACGCATCGTTCTCATCGCGCTTTATCCAGCGAGTGCGAGGCCGACCCTCACCGCCTTTTATATAGAAAACTTTCGTTCTTGGTTAATGATAGTACCGACAGGATTCACGGCACCTGTACTTCTCTCGACTCAAGTATCGAGACAAACGTGCAACGGATCACCTATGCCGAACTACATAATAATAATGCGGGGGAAGAAATATGCGAAACAGCGAACGGGAAAATCTACTCCCCACCACGACATATTTGTTGTGAGATACTGCCGCAACGCATACACGTACAGGGCGCGCACACGGTCTCTGAAACCGACCGAAAGCACACCTCTCGGTTCAACCGCGTGATCGGTTTTGCGCGCTGTCATTCGTCGGGAGGCCTTCCTTTTTTTATTTATCCTTGTCGATACTGCAACGCACTGCGACCGAGATTCCCCTTGAACATCGTGCGTCAACGATTACACAGTTTTGGTTATGTGGAGGGGAGAGAACAACTCATTTTTCCATAGCTTCCTATCGTCGATTGACAAATCTCTACCTTGCGTTACTGTACTTTACCTTCTTTTACTATATGCCGGTTTTTCAATCAAGCATAGGAGACGATGACAAGGCGCTAGATTGGTGAATATGATAGATATCAGTACTGACCAATCCCAGTAACTCACTTTTGAGAACGCCGCAGATTCCTTTGTACACATATGACTCATTGTTGCTGTTATAGATGGCGTGGTAGTTCATAGCAGATAATTGTAGTTGTCAAACAGAATCGAGGAAGTACATATTGTGAATTTTAAATAAACAATTTATAAAGAAACATGTCATTAGCCGATGAGTTATTAGCAGATCTTGAAGAGAATGACGATAACGATGACATCGCGGAAGAACCGGAGCCGGATTTTATTCCGGCTTCTGTTTCGAAAACCATCGAAGAAGGTCAGCTAGTCTTTATTTTCATATAATACTATTTTATTTACTAATTAGTATTTACTAATAGAAATATAGTTCCACGAGGTACTGTACTTTCTAAATACTGAACATTAATATATTAATCTTTAATTCACTTGCAGAAATAAAAGTAGCTTCTGTAAGAGAATTGGCAAAACTTCGTGATTCAGAACAGTTACAAAAAGTAATGTTACAAATAGAAAAATACAGTAAAATTCCTAGAAAGTCAGCAGATATTATTGGGCCTGTTGAGTCTGATCCAGAATATCAACTTATCGTCGAAGCTAATAACATGGCTGTAGATATTGATGATGAAATAGGTATAACGAATGTTATAATTTTTAATAATTTACAATGCTCTCATACTTATTATATATTGTTCATACAATTATATTGTAATTTATATTTTTCAGCTACCATACATCGATTTGCCAGAGATAAATATTCCAAAAGATTTCCAGAATTGGAATCTTTAGTTGTTGGTCCATTAGAATATGTGATGACAGTTAGAGAATTAGGAAATGATTTAGATAGAGCAAAAAACAATGAAACATTGCAACAATTTCTTACTCAAGCAACAATTATGGTGGTTTCAGTTACTGCTTCAACAACTCAAGGGTAATTTATTTTGTGATAAATTTTTAAGGTATAAATAATCAGATAAAATCTTTTATGTGTAAATTTATTTTATTTATAGACAATTATTAACAGAAGAAGAAAAGGAAGCTATTTGCGAGGCATGCGATATGGCAGTAGAATTGAATAACTGCAAGTTAAAAATATTTGAATATGTTGAAAGTAGGATGGCATTTATCGCGCCAAATCTTTCTGTAATAGTAGGTGCATCTACAGCAGCAAAAATTATGGGTATTGTAAAAAGATATATACTTACTTCTTTCAATCCAGAGAAATATTTAAATCTGCATTAACATATATTCTGTCGTTAGGTGTTGCTGGCGGACTGACAAAACTTTCCAAAATGCCAGCATGCAATGTTTTAGTTTTGGGATCTCAAAAAACCACATTATCTGGATTTTCTCAAGTTACAACATTACCTCACACTGGATTTATATATTATTCTGATATTGTACAAGAAACACCACCAGTAAGTTAATATGCAATAACATATGTGTTAAATGTATCTTTCAAATATTTTTTATTGTTGCTAATTTATCTTTTCAGGATTTACGAAGAAAAGCAGCAAGGCTTGTGGCAGCAAAGAGTATGTTAGCTGCCCGAGTTGATGCGTGTCATGAAAGTACAGATGGTCATATTGGTCAAATGTTTCGTGAAGAAATTGAGAAAAAGCTCGATAAGCTTCAAGAACCACCTCCTGTTAAATTTGTCAAACCTTTACCAAAACCCATTGATCCAGGACGAAAGAAACGTGGTGGTAAACGCGTCAGAAAAATGAAGGAACGTTATGCTATCACTGAATTTAGGAAACACGCAAATAGAATGAATTTTGCAGATGTAAGCTTCTTTCTTCCTTTTTCAGTCTTTTTTTATAATATTCATATTAATGGAATTTTAATGGTTTCATAGATCGAGAATGATGCTTATCAAGAAGATCTCGGTTATTCGCGTGGAACAATTGGCAAAGCAGGGACCGGTCGTATTCGACTACCACAAATCGATGAAAAAACAAAAGTACGGATATCAAAAACGCTTCAGAAAAATTTACAAAAACAGCAACAATGGGGTGGTAGTACAACAGTTAAAAAACAAGTTTCCGGTACAGCATCTAGTGTTGCATTTACTCCATTGCAGGTAAACAATTTATTGTATATATGTTAATATATAATTTATTGTATATATGTATATAATTAGGGAAATTTAATATATATATTGTATAATGTATTAGATTTTATACATATATATATATATTAAATTTCGTAGTTAACATAATTTTCATTATTAAATTGAATATATATTTGTGGTTACAGGGTTTGGAAATTGTAAATCCACAAGCCGCGGAAAAGAAAGTAAACGAAGCCAATGCTAAATATTTTTCGAATATAGCTGGATTTTTAAAAGTGAAAAAGACATAAGGAGACCGTACATAATATACAGTGTAATATATCATTAGTTCAATAAATTTTAACATGTTGAATGCCACAACAGTTTTACAAGGTATTGCCGTTGCAACACGATGAATTTTTTATTATGCGAAAATATAAGTTGAAATATTACCTACAAGAGACATGTTACAGTGTATAATCGTCATTAATGAATTTATCTCACTGATGTCACTGCTGATCCCCATGGCGCTGTAGTGCAATTTCACAAATTCATTTATTTTTTGCGATTATATATTATCTCATAATGTTCCTTCGCTTTGTTAAATAATTGTTCTGCGTTATGTCCCAAGACCTACCATAAACCATAATCCATCTCTCGGTCATACTTATTTGGATCCGCAATAATTCCAAAAAACCGTCACAAGATTTAGCATTTTTTACTTTTCTGTGAAGGTCCTTAATTGCCATCAAACATCTTTCAAGTCGAAACGTTCCTTAGAGTTATTGTTCATTAAGATAAAACACGGAAAAAGCGGGTTTTTACCATGTTCGACAGCCACTGGTGAGGGGTGCACATAATACATCTATATTTTATATATAAATAAAATTATTTTTATATGTTTTATATTGCATTAATTTCATTACACCATTGTAGTAACGATAGTAATAATACAAAATTTATAACTGTTGACATTTGTTCAAATTATGGATCTCTACTAATCTTGGTGCGCCGGTCACCAGTGACCCCCATGGCATTTAACGTGTTAACTACATTTGTTATATATATACATAATTATGTTTTGTAAACACAAGGTATGCTGTATTTATATATAACTGTATCTTATATTATTTAAATAATGACAAAGTAATAGTAACTACAACGTTGCATAAATATTAATTTTTCCGCACAGCATTCTTTCAATATGATGAGGAAAGTTTAAAAGAACACGTAATAAATTTTTGTTTCTTTGTGTTTCTGTACTTCTAGTATTAATAATAAATTTATTAGGAAGTATTAAATTAGAAACATTTTATTTCAAATTAATATTTAAAATTGTTGCTATTGTACACGTTAATCAGGAATCTAATATCCTTGGTAAAAAGAGCGGGATATGTTGCCCAACAAGAGCGTAACTGAGAAGAAATATATGTCGTCCTAAGTTTACGTGTATGTGATATACGCAAACAACTTACAAATATGATAGATGACAGATGACCTGGTGGTGAACTGATCGTAAAAATAAACAGTGCGAAAGACTAGAGTGAAAAGGTATGCTAGCATAAACGCTTAGAGAAAGAAGGATGGATATACATATATGAGGTGCGTGGAAGAGCGAGAAGCGTGGTCGTGGCGGTAAAAGGTAGAGGAAGATAAGAAGAACACCGGGTGGAACGAACGGCAAACCAGAACTGGGTGTCGTAAGCTAATCGTTGAATGCTTTGAGTACTCGTGTGTGTTCTTACTTCGTTCCTCATCTCCTTTGAAGGATGCGTATATTATGCGAAGTTTCACGTTGGTTGTGTGTTCCACTTGATATTACGC